AAAAAAAAAAAAAAAGAAAAGAAAAGAAGGGAGAAAGAAAAAGAGCACAGAGAAGAATAGAACAGAGTGGATTCCAGTTCCAGCTATCCATTCACCAGCTATGCTTCTGCATCAAAATTTTCTCAGCCCTTAAATTGGGATAATTATGTATCAGGACATTAAGAAGATAAAGGAAGGTGAAAGTGCTTGTAAACATGTAGTTCCCACAAAACAAACTGTGGAATCCCTTCCTACAGCCTCAAGAAATGTTTACAGACACTGATAATCTTTCCTAAAGTATTTTCTGAAAAAAGAAAACCCTTTAGCTACTATCTGAGATGCAGCATTCATAGGAATATCCACATCTTAGTGGCTGATGCCTGTTTTCCCTATCGCTGCCCCCACACTAGAGAAAGAACGAACCAGATCACTCAGGGCTTCTTTTTCTTAAGCTTAGAGAATGAATCCCCTTACCAAGTTTAAGAGATATTCTCAAAACATTTTGTGAGTAGTTTCTAAAGGCACTTACAGGAGCTCCTGGAAGTCCTTGTCTTCGAAGAAAAGGGGTTGGGGTACCTGTTTTCTTTCTGAGAACATGACAAAGCTAAAGGATAATTTTAAATTGTAGAACTACTTCCTATACTGTGATAGAATCAAAGGCTTCAGGCAGGTGTGTGCTGGGCCCCAAAAATCATCTTCAATTTATTATAACTTGTCACTATGACGGTGCGTTGCTGGGGAGAGGGCTTTCCTCTGTGAGACAATCTATTAAGACTAATCTCTCACTCAGCCACTACTAAATTTGCAAGTCACTCTTAATCCTTAGAACTATCCAAGCAAGTGAGCAAAAAACTAGAAAAAAAAAGAAAGGATGGCCAGGCATGGTGGCTCACACCTGTAATCCCAGCACTTTGTGAGGCTGAGGCAGGTGAATCACAAGGTCAGGAGTTCAAGATTAGCCTAGCCAACATGGTGAAACCCCGTCTCTACTAAAAATACAAAAATCAGCCTGGCATGGTTGCGGGCACTTGTAGTCCCAGCTACTCGGGATGCTGAGGCAGGAGAATTGCTTGAACCCGGGAGGCAGAGCTTGCAGTGAGCCGAGATTGCAGCACTACACTGCAGTCTGGGCAACAAAGACTCCATCATTTAAAAAAAAAAAAACAAAAAAGCCTGTAATCAGTCTTGTCTTTTTGCTCAAACTCGGTCCTGATCTGAAAATTAACCATTGAAAGATTGTCCGAAATTTGTTCTTCTTAAGCTATGAATAAATGTGTTAAAGACTGTCATCATCTTTGATGGCTCACACATTTCCAAAAGAACGAATAAACCCCATATTTCAGGTAAGGGGGAAGACGAGCTCCTGCTAGTGAGAAATAAATAGGCAGGCAGCAGGCAGACTGGTGGCTTTTTAAATTGATTTGAAAGAAAAAGCTTCATTTACTATTTGTACTAGGGTTCTAATAGAAATGTTAATTAATAATGACAAGTGTGACTATAACATAAATTTTTTTTTTTGAGACGGAGTTTTGCTGTTGTTGCCCAGGCTGGAGTGCAATGGCACGATCTCGGCTCACCGCAACCTCCGCCTCCTGGGTTCAAGCAATTCTCCGGCCTCAGCCTCCCGAGTAGCTGGGACTACAGGCATGCACCAACATGCCCAGCTAATTTTTGTATTTTTAGTAGAGACGAGGTTTCACCTTGTTGACCAGGATGGTCTCGATCTCTTGACCTCGTGATCCACCCGCCTCGGCCTCCCAAAGTGCTGGGATTACAGGCTTGAGCCACCGCGCCCGGCCTAACATAAATATTTTAAAAAGAAAGAAACATGCCACAGATTATAACAATAATAGCTAACTTATTGACTCTTGAGTAGCACTTTGCATGGATTATCCAATTTTTAGGAATTTTAGGGTCTTAGGAATACGTACATTACTTCATAGCAGTGAGAACCCTTGTTTTAGTTTTTTTATTTTTGAGATGGAGTTTCGCTCTAGTTACCCAGGCTGGAGTGCAATAGCGGGATCTCGGCTCACCGCAACCTTCGCCTCCTGGGTTCAGGCAATTCTCCTGCCTCAACCTCCTGAGTAGCTGGGACTACAGGCATGCGACACCATGCCCAGCTAATGTTTTGTATTTTTAGTATAGACGGGTTTTCACCATGTTGACCAGGATGGTCTCGATCTCTTGACCTCGTGATCCACCCGCCTCGGCCTCCCAAAGTGCTGGGATTACAGGCTTGAGCCACCGTACCCGGCCCAAGCCCTTGTTTTAATAAGAGATTTTGTATAGTCTTCGGGGGGTAGTGTAGTTATTGTTTAAAATCTCACTATTTTCCCATCAGACTCTGCAAAGGTAAATGTAACAAGTGAAGCGAGCTCATCACCTACTAGGTACTGGTGTGAAATGGAGCCCCCATGACTGTCTAGAAACACCACCAACCCCCACGCTGACTTGAGAGTGCTTCCGATGCCCTCCCCTGTAGACAACTTAATGAGTTCTAAGTTCCTGAAGGCAGACACCAGCTTAAAGATGGCACGTGGCATTGATTATCAACTACGTTAAGCTAAAAAGATGAAAATTCCCTGCTGTCTAAGGAGAAAGCCAACACTTGATTTCACCTGTTATGACCACCCAGGTGGCTGGGCTGATGACAATCTTAAATGAGGTAATGCACTGGTGTCTGGTCAAAGTGGAAACCACGAACTTTTCTCCCATGGAGAAGACAATAAGGCAGGCTTTAGAGCAAGGCAAAGCAAGTGTGTGAAAAGACAGGACTGAGGGAGGTCACCTACTACAATTACCTTCATCAGCAGAAGATGTCAAGTGGGAAGGATCAAAAAGATCACTGTCAATCTCAGGATATGGGGAGGTGTCCAAAATCCTAGGGCTTGTAAGCAGAGACACCTGATCAGAGCGTCCTGGGAGGACCACTTGTCCTTCTGTTGAGGACAGAGAGAAGCTGCTCCTCTTTTCACTCGAGCCATGGGGAGAGGTGCTGCCAGTGGAGTCCGTAGTATCCTCTGACAATGTTGTCTCTGCCAGGGAGTCCCCAAGGCACAAAGGTGAAGGGCCTGAGGGAGAGGCAGCGTCCATCACAAAGTGGGCCCCACTTTTCCCCTCTGCTGGCACCTGAGGTTGCAAGTCCTGCAGCTGTTTCTGCACATCCTGGGGGCTGATCCAGGAAGCTTTGTGCCTCATGAGCCTGACGTCTAATTGGCAAGGAGGATGGTCAGTGTTCAGGAGTCTGGGCGAACCATCAATAATGTCAGGGTGATTGCTGATCCCTTCCCAGGGGTCCACAGGAGAATCCTGCCCGACTGTAGACTGTGACACCATCTTTCCAGGTGTGGGGCTGGTGTGAATCCATTCAAAACAGATAGAGGGAGTTCCCCAATTGCTGTTGTACTACTTGATTTGGGCCCTGAACTCACCACATGGCCAGCTGGGGGTCTGGAGACCTATTCTGCAATGACCAAAGAATCATTCAAAATAAGTAAGAATTCAATTGTATCTTGGCTACAAATTATTTTGAGATGGCAAAACCCAACATTTAGAAGTCTGTACTTGGCTCTACCCAACATAGTAAAGTCCACTTGGATTTACAAGTCAAAAAAATAAATAAATCAGCCATAAAACTGCAGCAAATCTAGAGAGGCTTGACATTGGGAGAGGATACATTTTTCAAAGCATAAAATTTAAGAAATCATAAAGGAGATTTCTTACTGATAAATTACATAAAAATGTAAAACATCCATGCATCAGAATTATTTTAATACAATTAAATGTCAAATACAAGATGGAAGTAAAAACACATTTGCATATTTTTACTCTGTCACCTAGGCTGGAGTGCAGTGGCGCAATCTTGGCTCACTGCAACCTCCGCCTCCTGGGTTCAAGCTATTCTCGTGCCTCAACCTCCCGAGTAGCTGGGATTACAGGCACCCACCACCACACCTGGCTGATTTCTGTATTTTTAGTAGAGACAGGGTTTCACTTGTTGGTCAGGCTGGTCTTAAACTCCTGACCTCAGGTGATCCACCTGCCTCAGCCTCCCAAAGTGCTGGGGTTACAGCTATGAGCCACCATGCCCAGGCACTTCGATATGTTCTTATTTTCATTTAGTTGGTCCTTGTGTTTCAAAGGCAAAGTGGTACCTAAAACAAATGAATGATCCATAGTATTAAAGATTTGGCTCACGTAACTTTTACCTTTCACACTTACAATATCAATATCAATGTATTCTCAGTTCATAATATTTAAATAACACAGTATGAACCTAGAATCCAAATGACCCACTCACTTCTAAGCTCAGATTTTAGCTTTACTGAAGAGGTAATGATTAAAATGTTGAGAGCTACACAAATAAGAAGCACTCTTGTCACTGTAGTTACAGGCTAGAGAAATGTTTTGTTTTTCTGTTCTCCCACTGCCCTTTGCATTGTGAAGCTAAAAGCAACTTTCAACAGCAAAAGCAAGAAGAGCCAGGGGAAGGCCTAGAGATAGAAGAGTGGCCTATGCCACATTCATCCTCCACAGTAGTGAACATGAGACTCTGGAGTGACAGGGCTGCAAATACCATCACTGTGTATGTAGGCAATTCCCACATGTATCTCTCTATTTCTGATCTCCCAGCTAGCACGTCTTACTGCCTATTTGACATTTGTCCAGTGGGCATTGCACCCTGATACATCCGAAATAGTCATTCATTTCTCCCCAAACCTGCTCCTTCCCTGCTTCCCTCACCCCTCCTGCCCCAGTCACCCAAGCCTGAAACTTTGGAGTCATTTCTGATCCTATCTTTCCTTAGCTCTCCACCTTCAAACAATCAGCAAGTTTATGGCGATAGCTGCCATCTTAGTCTGGGTCAACATCTTCTCACACTGGGACATGCAGCCAGAGCATCCCAATTGGTTTCCCTGATGTTACTCTTGCCCATTTATTTTATTTTATTCTACTTGTTTGAGATGGAGTCTTGCTCTGTCGTCCAGGCTAGAGTGCAGTAGTGCAACCTAGGCTCACTGCAACCTCCGCCTCCTGGGTTCAAGCAATTCTCTGCCTCAGCCTCCAGAGTAGCTGGGATTACAGGTAGTCACCACCACATCGGCAAATTTTTGTATTTTTAGTAGAGATGGGGTTCCAGCATCTTAGCCAGGATGGTCTTGAACTCCTGACCTCGTGATCTGCCTACCTCAGCCTCCCAAAGTCCTGGGATTACAGGTGTGAGCCACCGCACCAGGCCTGTAACACCATGTTTTAACCCCCAGAGGGGTACACCGTTCCTGGAGGTACTGCAATACCAGGTGAATGTGTGGAGCAGACGGAGCAAGCTCCTATTCTATATCCCTGCTCCAAAAATCCATTTACTATATTGTCCTCAGATAGAGGACATATCAGATATTAAACTGATAAGAATGGATACTACACTCGATCTTAGCCGAAAGGCCGAGAAGCCATTACTCTTGCCCATTTATAATCAACAGGTATTCAGAGATATCTTTTATAAACCTAAATCAGATCATGCAGTTGCCCTAATCAAAATTCCCCAAAGGCTTCCCATCAAATCTGGAATAAAATCCAGACTCCTTACCTTGTCCTCAAGGCCTGACATGAGGCTGTCCCTGTGAACCTCTCTTACTTATCTTCATCCAGCCTCCATAAGCCCCAACCACACTGCAAGCTCTTGAGCCCTATAGAGTTCTTCTAACTCTAGGAGTGCTGTTCTATGTTTCCTCTTTCTGAAATGCTCCTCCCCTGGATGATCACACATCTTTCTCTTTCCTGTCACGAATGCCTTGATTTATAAATTACTTCCTCAAAGATATCTTTCCTAACCACCGTTCTTAAGGTAGTTCCCCCATCATTACCTCTCACATTTAGTTTTCATCACAGAGGTGCTCACTTCCTGCTATTTTTTAGTTCATCACTGCCATTCTTCCCCCCATCCCCACCTGATTATAAGCTCCATGAGAGGAGGGGCCTTGTCTGTTCCCTGCCAGGTAGTATGCCCTAAACCTAGAGTTGCATACAGGGGTTCAGTACATGTTTATAGACTGAAAGAACAAATCCAACAAAATGGAGACAAAACTAAAAGCTAGAGAAAAGGCTGGGTGCAGTGGCTCACTCCTCTAATCCCAGCACTTTGGGAGGCTGAGGCAGGTGGGTAACCTGAGGTCGGGAGTTCAGGACCAACAGGGCGAAACCCCATCTCTACCAAAAATACAAAAATTAGCTGGGTGTGGTGGCAGGCGCCTGTAATCCCAGCTACTCAGGAGGCTGAGGCAGGAGAATTGCTTGAACCCAGGAGGTGGAGGTTGCAGAGAGCCGAGATCATGGCATTGCACTCTAGCTGGGGTGACAGCAAGACTCAGCCTCAAAAAAAGAAAGAAAGAAAGAAAGAAAGAGCTAGAGAAAAGACTTCTGTGGCAGATACAACTGTTCTATTAGAATTCACTTCTATTATTGTGTGAGTTCAGAATTACTCATTACTCATACAAGAATAGAGGTGAATCCATGTTTCCTAAAACCATGAAATTGTCCTCACCTAACAATAAGATGTAAGTTCAGAAGACCAAAATAAGGTACATACGAAAACTGTTCTTGAGATTTTGAGTCTCAAGAGTTTTTGAGACTTCTTGATTTGCGGGCCCTATATTCTAGTTCATACCTTTTGGAGTAATAAACATTACATGTATAATTTATATGCACACACACACACAAATACACACACACACAGTTGACCCTTGAACAACATGGATTTGAAGTTCGTGTGTCCTCTAATATGTGGGTTTTCTTCCAAATCTGTCACCCTGAGGCAGCAAGACTAACGCCTCTTCTTCCTCCTCCTCTTCAGTCTACTCAACATGAGAGGATGAGGATGAAGACCTTTATGATGATCTATTTCCACCTAATGAACAGTAAATATATTCTCTCCTCCTTATGGCTTTCTTAATACATTTTCTTTTCTCTACTTTATTGTAAAAATGCAGTATATAGTATTCTACACTAACATACAACATATGTGTTAATCAACTGTTTATCGGTAAGGCTGTGGTTAACAGGTTATAAGTCGTGTTAAGTTTTGGGGAGTCAAAAGTTATGTGCAGATTTTCAACTGCGCAGGGTGTTAGCATCCCTAACCCCTGCATTGTTGAAGGGTCAACTGTATGTGTGTATGTATCTTTTGTATATAACATAAATTGCTTCTGGATGCAAATATATATATATATTTCTTTTGTATACAACATATATTAATATATAAATGCACCTTTTGTATGTAACATACATATATGTACATATACATGCATCTTGAAAACACACAAAAAGCCCCAAATCACCATTCACAAAATATCACGGAAGGCCAACCACAGTGGTTCACGCCTGTAATCCCAGCACTTTGGGAGGGCGAGGTGGGTGGATCACCTGATGTCAAGAGTTCAAGACTGCCCTGACCAACATGGTGAAACCCTGTCTCTACCAAAAATACAAAATTAACTAGACGTGGTGGTGCATCCCTGTAATCCCAGGTACTTGGGAGGCTGAGGCAGGAGAATTGCTTAAACCTGGGAGGCGGAGGTTGCAGTGAGCCGAGATCATGCCATTGCACTCCAGCCTGGATAACAAGAGTGAAGCTCTGTCGCAAAAAGAAAAAAGAAAAAAGAAATATATATATATATATATATATATATATATATATATATCATAGAGTACAGCTGGCTGTGTTAACTGCCAGAACTCACTAGCCCAAAATGCCTACCTTTCTTCTCCTGACCTCAAATCCCACCTTGTACACCAATTTCTCTTTGTCACACATCTTTTCCTCTCCAGTAATTCTGGATTTTATAATTACAAAAGGGAACCATGACTATGTTTTTATCAAATGCCCAAACACAGAAGCCTAGAGTAAAAAGCAAACGGCTCTCATCACCCTAAGCCCCACAATCCTACTTTATTCTCAGAAATAACATGTTAACCATTCTGTTCTTTCTAGACCTTTATCTATGAATTAGCGTACAGATTTCAGACAAAAAGATAAGTTTTCTTTTTTATACACATACATGGGATCATACTGAAGATATTCTACAACTTACCTTCTTTTCCACTCAACAGTATGTCTTGAAGGTATATCTGATTCTCCTAAACAGTCTTAGTATAAATACATCATATTTTACTTAGCCAGACCTTCCTGATAGAAATTTATCTTTAGCTTTTTGCAAGTATAAAGTATACAACAATGAACATCCTCGTTCATGTCATTTTTTGGTTGAATTTCTTTTTTGGGTCCTTTCTCTTACTAGTTCCACTCAATCTGAGTCCATAGTTCATGACAACCTCATTATTTCCGAGAGAATAAAACTACATAAGTAAGTTATGGTTTACTCTCAATTTTCTACACATATCCGTTGTGTGTTTGGTGGGTGGAGATGATTATAGATGTGAAACCATGTGAAAAATATGCAATATGCAATCTCAAATGGTAAAGTAGTAGTGATGCCAGTGGTTTTGCTTTTTTTAGGATGGAGTCTCGCTCTGTTACCCAGGCTGGAGTGCAATGGCATGATCTCAGCTCACTGCAACCTCCGCTTCTTGGATTCAAGGGATTCTCAAGCCTCAGTCTCCCTAGCAGCTGGGATTACAGGTGGGAGCCACTACACCCAGCTAATTTTGGATTTTTAGTAGAGATGGTGTTTTACCATGTTGACCAGCCTGGTCTTGAACTCCTGACATCAAGTGATCCACCCAACTCAGCCTCCTAAAGTGCTGGGATTACAGGCGTAAACCACCATGCCTGCCCAATCCCAGTGTTTTTTAGAAACAGATTAAAGTCAACAGTTCAAAGAGAATGACCTTATTTCCTGGCCTCCCATACACGGACTGACCTAAGTGCATTGAGCAAAAACCAACTTCCTCATAAAATGCAACTGTCAGAAGCAGATGTTTGCTTCACTTCCTTCTAGAAAAGTGTTGTTGCTTCGCAAAGATAATCAACAGGTGCCGTTTTGCCAGGTTACGAAATCAAAGCATTAGGAGCTAGAATAGGTCCATAATAGATTCACAACCATATCTAAGGTCACAGCTAGGCAGTGGCAGAGAGAGGACAAAAGGCCAGGTCAGACACTCACCAGGAGTATGAGTTTCTCGAAGAGGCAGACTGACACAGAGGAGAGAGTAATGATCGGAAACCATCAGAGTCCATGCAGTAGTGGCAGGAGGTCACTATCCCATTTTTATTTTATCTTTAAGGCAACAAATAATTTCCAGGTGCTATGATACCACTGCCAGGTATGTTACTTGTTGCCATATTGCTTGTTGTATGTTAGTTTTTCAGTTAAGAAATATTCACTGAGCATCTACAACAAGTCTGGCATTGTTTTTGTTTTGGTAGCACTGGGGTAAAAAACAGCAGAGACTAAAATAAGCTTCCTGCCCTCCCACAGCTTATGTTCTGGTGGAAGGAAGATAGTGTATAGACATACCACGTATTCAGACATACATACATTCCAAGAAGTGATAAGCAGAGGTAATACAGGTCTAAGCAATACTTAGCATCTTCTCAACATACTTTCCAACTGTCAAAAAGGGGTCCTTTGAATCAGAGATTCTTAGGTACAAAAAATAAAATCAATTTCCAAAAACATTTAAAGGAAGAGAGATCAATCTCAAAGCTTACCATCATTCTTACTGAGATTTTCCAGCTGGGATTAAAGGGTAAGCAAAGGCCAGATTACTAGTTAACACATAAGCTGCAGCAAAGGCCCTGGACAAACAAGAGGCTTCAGGACTCCTCCAGCCAAGTCATTCTGACATCAGAGTCAGTGGCCCCATCGAGAATGACTGACTGCATCACTAGAGCCACCACAGAGACACAGTATTAACAGCAAAGATGCAACTTCTGTAGGAGGGACAGATGCCTCAGTTGGGCATGTCTACAGTGACCTCACAAAAATCTTTCAGGTCATAAGCAGCCAGCACCTTGAGAGCAAAGCAGATTTTGCTCCCACTACATATAACAGTCTTCAAGTTATTTCACAAATAGGTGAAAGTACATCAGATTTAGCATTTAGGGTTTTCTGTGCTCCAACACTAACTGCCTATTGAACACATAACTAGGAGCATCAGAATAATGACACATCTTAAATCTTACCTTGTCAGTGAGGCCTCCCTGGTACCCTATAAAAACCAGTAATTGCCCCTCCCCCTCCCGAACAGTTCCTATCCCCCTTTTTAGCTCTATTTCTCCCTTTAGCACAAATCTCATTGTATTTAACCTCAATGACCAGCACTGACCAGAATGTTAAATCTATGAGGGTACTTTTTTTTTTTTGAGACATAGTTTCCATCTTGTTGCCCAGGCTGGAGTGCATGGTGCAATCTCGGCTCACAGAGACCTCTGTTTTCCAGGTTTAAGTGATTCTCCTGCCTCACCTCCCTAGTAGCAGGCATTACAGGCGCCCGCTACCACGCCTGGCTAATTTTTTACATTTTTAGTAGAAGGCCGGGTTTCACCATGTTCGCCAGGCTGGTCTCAAACTCCTGACCTCAGGTGATCCACCCGCCTCATCCTCCCCAAAGTGCTAGCATTACAGGTATGAGCCACCACGCCTGGCAGAGGGCGCTTTTTAAAAGAATGTATTTTGGACACTGCTTTATCCCCAGAACTCAGAACAGTGGTAATAATAGGTGCTCAATAAATATATTCTTTGTACTTATGAACGAAATCATGAGCAAATTATCAAACAATACCTAGGTATGTTTATGCTGGTTATTTCTTTGTCACCCAAGAAAGGAGTTCAGGAATGGAATCACCTTTTAGAATAAATTGGAAATCATGATGTAAAATGTTCATCAGCCATTTCCTCAGAATAAAGGATATTAGAGGATAGAAATCATAAGTAAGAATCTAGAGCGAAAGGTAAAATTCATTTTTATCAATTTTATGGTAGGTTACTAAGCACACCGAGTAATAAACAAATGCTGAGTAGAGCATGAATAAATCTTTAACTGTGTAGCATGTGAGCTGTTTGGTTAACATAGTTCCCCAGAACTTCTTCCCTTCTTTCTCAGTACCTACTTCTCCTCATGCTTTGACGTTAGGCAAAGATTCAGATCCCCAAGGAGAATAATGGAGTCTA